ACCACCAACACCACCGACAACAACAAAATATTAGACACTCGGTGTATTAATTAGCACAGTGCAGTCATTGATCGAAACGCTTACCCACAGAGCCCGGGGTGGTCCTTTCAATGATGTGGGCTGCCTGACTGGAGCGACAGCAGAAGGATGACCCCCGGACTGTGCCTTTCAGATCGGTCCCTGGGCTACAGCACCGTCTGTGTAACACGCATTCCAAAGGGCGCCCCAGCAGAGGAACTGCTACGGCAGCGGTGTTCTTCTCCGTGTAGTATTCCTCTCCGGGCTGCGCAACTGCTCAATTCACATTTTTGGGCCCCGCAGTTGCGAGTTAAGAGTTCAAAGCCAAAGGACAATGAGAGGTTCTTAATGTGGCTATTGGGAGGCGTTAATGAGAGAGAATGGCTCTCACACCAGTCAGGCTGGCTTGGTGGGCTCTGCGCCTGTCCTCATGCGGGAAGCCAAAACGCACATCTCATCAGCTCGTCTGGGTGTTGCTACAGGGGATGTACCAGTCCCCCCATCCGCAGGGGGTCGGTTCATGATGCTCAGCTGCCTGCGGATAACTGAAACCACAGAAAGCGAAACCTCGGGCAGGGAGACCACACACTCACACTAACCCAAATCACACCGGCAGCATCTAAATGAAGTCCTGGAATCTCTGTGCCAGAGAACAAGAATTAGGCCTTGGCTCGATGCCTTATGACCCTGGGAAAAAACCCAGAGAACAAGACAGTCCCTGTACCGAGGTAATGGGAAAGTACGATGCACTGTTTCCCTTCCAAGACAGGGGGTCCCTCTGGGGCCTGCCTGAAAAGCTCCCAGGATCTACCTCCCATCACCGACACTGTGTACGAAATGGACACATCTTACAAAGGATGGACGCACACATACCGTAGAACACTGTAACTGCCCTTGTGTTACTCTCCTGAACCACCTTGCTCTCTGTGGCAGTACAGGGACATCACAGTCTTCTGAAGATCCATTGTGGTCATCTGCAGGGACCCAGAGATACCCCCAAATGTTCCTTCCTGGTGGGGATACAAATCTCTCAGGCTCACTTCTGCAACAGCCAAGCCCCACCCTTTTCTTCAAGTTGTTATGAATCTGCTTTTAGAGGGTCATGATCCAGACTTACCTCCAGACACTGGAGGCTGACCCAGGACTCCGGGGAGGCTGTGGCAGGAGAACCCCAAGGTCAAACTCAGCCTGAGCAACTTAGCAACTCGGCAAGACACTGCTTCAAAAAGAAAATTAAAAGGGCTGGGGAGGTAGTGTGAGGACCAAGTTTTCAGGTCAAGGTGGGCTCCATGACCCTTACCCAAAATAGAGTACATGCAAAAGTTCCTGTCTGTAAAATTCCATTCTATGTGACAGTCTCTCTGTGTTTCTGTGCCTCTTTTAAGGGCAAGTTATCCTAGGGCATCTCCACTCTGTTTCTGTTCCTCTTTTAAGATCCCAAGATGAATTCTTTTCTGTTTGGCTTAATTAATATAGGAATTAGTCATAGCTGACATAGGTAGCCACCTGCGAATATTCTGGCTTGCAAAATCAGATGATCTAATAAAGAGAGGAATTGATTCTGCGAATGTAGGCATTTTAGATAATTTTCCAATAAGTGCCCTCCCGGTGCCCCTTGAATATCCAGTGATATGTAAAAGCCCTCCCAGTACCCCTCAATTATCCAATGATAAATGAGGGCTAAAAATAGAAACTATATAAGCAAAATGTTTCCTTAACCCTATATAAACCCACTTCAAAAATGGATCTGGGCTCTCAGTCTAAAGCCACTGTGACGGTGACACCTGAGAGTCCAGGCTCGAGCTTGCAATAAACTCCTCTTGCAATTGCGTGGGACCTGACTCCTTGGGGGTCTTTGGGGACTTTGAGACTTGAGCATAACAGTAGGTCTGGTGCAAAGGCCCTGGGGCAATCTGCCTACTGTGCCATCATGTTGGTTGTCATTTTTAGCCAGCTGACAATATGCGCTAACGGACTTGTGTGGTCTCGCTGTAACAAAATTTAAAACACTAAAATGATCCAATTTCAGAAGCTTTTCCATAAAGGATTTAATAGCATAATATTGTCCTGGCTAAGGGCCTTGCAGTTTCTGTCCCCAACCCTTTATTTAAGCACTCTGGTTATGGATAAAGCTTGAAATAAAACAAGTTTACTTAACAAAGCCCATACTGCGTAATCATATGCTATGACTGGTGATAAAAGAAAAATAAGCATTTACATACGATGACACTCTAGAAAGAATTTAAATTACAAACCTAAACTGAAACTACTGGCTTTACTAGAGTATAGAACTGATAATATCTAATTGGGACCCATAAATGACTGTTTAGAGTCAGCCCTTGAGTCTCCATCAAATCCTCATGCTACTTAATCTGAGATGTTATCACTTTTAATCATTGGTGGCAGCTGATATTTCCATATAAATACTCCTTATATTTATGCCTGTGTCCTTTTAATTTGTGCCCGAAGTCCTATTAACTGAACAAGTGAAAAAGAATCGTTCTATCTTGTAAAATGTTCAACTTTTTAAAAAGTGGAAAGCTTTGACTAACAAGGCTGTAACTCTCAGGGCTAGTTTAGGAAGAAAGGCACAGCACCGTCCTCTGAAAATCTGGCTGGTATCAGGCTTCCTATGTTATGTGGGCTGTAGGCTTTTCCTGCTTTATGGATTACCCAGCTGTCTTCTGAGGAAAAATCCACTCTGCAGTTTCTACTTGTGAGAAAGCAGGCTCAGAAATGTTAAACGACTCGCCCAACACTCTAGAGTTTTAGAGCCTGTTTTGTTTTTATTCTTTAATTTCACCTCGAGATCAAGTGCTCTCTGCTAAAAGCCGTGATGAACTCAACATGCGATCAAAGGATACTGGAGTTAATGTGACAAACGCTTCGACAGTGCCAACCCTGGCGGGTATAGGAGGATATGCCGTACAGAGGACAGGTGCACAAGCCGGGGTGTTCGCCGAGGAGAGGATTGCTGCGCGGTTCATGCTTTCGAACACAGTCATTGTCATAACTTGGCCTCCTCCGCGGAGAACTGTGAGGCTTATGAGACGCTGTAGCAAGGGTTCAGACAACAACGTTTTGTTCAGGACATGTGCTGAGGGGTGGTGTAACCGTACAGGAGGGATCAGTCAACAAACGCTGTACAGACCTGACAGTGACTCACGAGCCCTGCTAGACTGTGAGGCTTATGAGACGCTGTAGCAAGGGTTCAGACAACAACGTTTTGTTCAGGACATGTTGCTGAGGGGTGGTGTCACCGTACAGGAGGGATCAGTCAACAAACGCTGTACAGACCTGACAGTGACTCACGAGCCCTGCTGGGATCTTTCCTCAGTTCCGAAATATTCGCTTACAGCTGCACGAGCCAAATGCTTGTCTCATTCTCGGCACTACCTTGTCCCTGATCTAAATGGATCAAGTTTTTATTTTCACTGGGAATTTTAATCTTTCTTTACAAAAATGGATATGCAGGATGAAAAAATTACTTAAGAAAAAGAACGTATTGTAGATGTATACATATCTTTCCTTGAAACATCTTGATTATATAATAGAAATTTCCTAAATAAAATCTGAGGTTAGGTTTTGAAACTAAAAACCTCTGCGGAGGAAAAAGTAATTCGTTTGCTACGCTCTTCATCCCCCAAGGAAAATAAAACTCCACAGAAGATTATTTTAGTACTGTTATGATTTTTGTCCGGCACTCGGGCTTTTTCCTCTTTGTCTTTACACATAGGCTTAGTGATAATGCTGCAGTGATTTTGTATTTTGCGCACCCAATATCAATAATCTTTTTCACACAGTCATTATAAGGAAGAGAGTAAAAGTGGAATTGTTTGTAGACAGGTGATGTAGAGTGCTTAGCTCCTGAGCAATGACATACTGATATTAGAACAGATATCACCTAGCAATCATCCACGAGTGATACGTAATTTAAAACAAAGAATGAGCAACCGTTGTATTATTAAAAACAAGCTGCTTTTATTACTGTCAGACAGGAGGTAAAGTCGCGCCCCACACCACGCTGCAGGGGGCAAGCCTCACATGGTGGCTGACTTTCTCGTGTGTGTGTGTGTGTGTGTTTAAAGTTACAAGGGTGTGATGGTAATGTGTATTCTCTATAGTTTTTTTTTTTTTCTTTTTTGGTACCGGGGATCGAACTCAGGCCCTTGTACTTGCGAGGTAGGTGCCTGAAACACTAAGCTAAATCCCCAGCCCTGACTTTCTTGTTAAACAGGAACGCGGGTCCAGGAGCCTCTGCAGCCGTCCGCAGGCGCCGGCCTCCTCCCGGTCAGGGACTCGAGGGTCACTAGAGGTGGCTTCGCGGCTTTCTTCCTCCCCGGGGCTGATTCCAGCACAGGGCGGAGGCCACCAGGCTGGGGTCTAACGCGGAAAGAGGGCGCTGGTGCAGCCAGACAGGGCCGGACGCCTGGGTCCCCGAGGGGGCTGAGCTGCAGGACGCCAGGGGAGGAAGCAGAGGCTAGGGGCATTTTCGGGCTGCAGCGGCTGTGGGCGAGGTCCGGAGTCAGGCGGGCGGAGAACTGGCT